TGTTGAAGGTGGGTAGGTTGTGGAGTCCGTCTCTGCATCATGTGATGAGGAACTGAAATTCTCTGGGGGCTGATGTGGTGAGGAGAAGGAGCTGAAGCAACAAACCTAGGAGTTCAGAAACACAAAACTGTAAAATCCCCAAAATGTAAGAGCTAAAGATTGTTTCTGCTTTACTTAGGTCACTATTATGTTTAGCAGTCTGCATAGATACAGAATTCCAAAAGAATAGTGTGCTGCCCAGATACAGAGAAAATATATTTTTGAATGGTGACATATCATTAGATTGACAGCTGGGAAATTAGAAGTTCGAATTGCACCCTTATGACGGAAAACAACTTCTGTGGGGGAGTTTAAGTCTTCATGGGAGGAGATACCTCATGGGGGACCTGATTTCTGAGGCACTGCCAGCTGTCTCCTTGTAAGGCTTTGTATCAACTGTATCGTCACTGCCCTTCCTCAGCAGAAGTGAGCAGTCAGTTCTGGTAACGGGACACTGAGGAGTTAAGATACAAGGTTCAGGTTCAGGTTTCAAGTTCTAGAAATCTTTGTGTGTTACATAGCGCATTTGAAAATGAAGAAACTGAAGTCAATATAATGTTCATAAAGGCAAGTGTTAAATCGCTTCCAGTTGAGTCTGACCCCATCAAAAGTTATTCTGTACTCAAAGCATAAACTTAACAATCCTGGCAGAGGAGAAGAACCATTCAGACCAAACCTGGTGGTGCAGCTGCCACAGAGGTTCATCACTTCAGTATTATGTTTTGCACAGCTCTGTCACTACTGGCACACCAAGGACACACACCACTTTGAGGATTTTACACAAGGGTTTTACAGACTTTGTCAGTTTAACTTTTTTTCTACATTTCCTTAAAATTGCATACCTCAAAGTACGTTACAAATAGGTGCTACAGTAATTTTTGCAGACGGAAAGCTGAGGTTATAAGAGCTCTGGTCCGTGCCCTCAATGACCGAACTACCCACTAGAGCAGTGGGGTCTCATTAGTAAACGAAAAGCCAGCCTGAGCTCCGGAATGGCTCAGGGCCACTTTCTCACCCACGAGAGGAGAGCTGGGAAGGCCAACAAGAAAGAGCCAGGATACTTCTGCACGAGGGTGAGTGAAAAGTTGTGTGGTATTCCCGTCCCAGATCAGCCTCTCTCTCCAGTCCTAAAGCAAGACGCAAGTCCGTGCCGAGCCAGAGCACCCACCTCCCCTTCTCCGTGGTGGGTGTGCTCGGTAGCTGCTGCTAAGAGAGACTGGTGCCGGCCGTTAGCGCGATCTGCCGGGATTCTCAAGTGTGGATCTGGTCCTTGTTCTCCTGAAGCTGGACCTCAGTACACTAGGTGACTTTTTTTTTTAACCTAGCAATAAAGAATGTTTTTCATGCAGAAATGTAAGGAAACTGTAAACTCACCCTGAATACAACAGAAGGTGCGACTGTGGTAGGAGCGCTACTGAACACCTCTGGACAGGGACATTGTATAGCTTATAACTGCATTTAAATCAAAGACACCTGAGATCTTTTATGCTGCAGCTCAGAATCAGTATCTGCCTGTGTAATTTTTATTTAATTTGAAACCTATTTACCACATTTCTTACAGGTCCGTAATTTACATCTGGAGTATAGCAAGTGTCAAGATGAACTATGGATGATTTACTGCCTACTCAGTTTTCTTTGAGAATCGCGTTTTAGGCATATTAGATAGGGTTTGGATGGCCTTTGTGCTGATTTCATATTAACTTTATAAACACATGCATTACTTCAGATATGCTATATAGATAGAGGAAATAAAAATGCCACTACGGAGTCACTGAGACTTTAATGTGTCAAACATTTCATTGTTCAAGGTAACTGATGCATTGTGGACTTAAATACATACTGGGGAGGAAGGGAATAAAGCATGCGTGTGTTTCACAATAATACTAGAGAATAATTTTTTTAAAAAGAGAAATCAATAACTATATTGTTGTAAAAATATCAGAGGTTTTTAAAAAGTGCTACAACTACCTGGTTATATGTCTCCTGCATAAGGACTAGAGTTAGTTTTTTGTATAGCACTCACACAGAAAGACTGTTACTTGCTGACAGAGATTAAGAGCAATGCATAGACAGCCTTTTATTACTACTATTATTTAAAAAATTATGGGTATCACCCTCTGTGTTTTCAAAATTCATTTGTGAAAATTAATCTCTGAGAAATGGTTTTAACCACCAGTCAACAACAGGGAAAAAATCCTTTTCAAAACTCAAAGTAAAAAGCACAGTTTTACAGATTTCACATTTGATTTAACATCCAAAAAACCCTCCCAACAATAATGCACTACTTTGTACAGCCAGACAGGACTCCTTTTTAGTAGACTTTAGTGGTCTTTATTATGATTTATGAATCACTTCATGAATTCCTGGCTTACTCATACGGGTGACTATAGTTATCTACTTTTACTTCCCTTCTGCCTAACAAAAGAGAAACTTGGACTTGTCTCAGTCCAGATTTGTCCCTGAACAAATCACAGTGTGTTACTGGGGGAACTGCAAATTTAATTTCGTTCCAGAAACAATCAGAACCAGCTTGTAACCACTTGGAAACTGCCATCAAGAATTGTGGCCAAGCCCTGGAGTTGATGCAATCAGGAACCAGCCAGATTTGCAGAAAGGTGTCCTCCCCTGTGCTTGCTGGATGCAAAATCAGAGCAGAAATGTTTCTGGAGCCATCGAGTAGCCTCTCCCTTTCCAACAGTAGCTATGAAAAAATGTCCTGCTGGGGAATGACTAGATTTGGTAGTAAGCAAGATAGATGACAAAGTTACCAAAATTTACCTGTTATGATGAGATTAGGTAAAATGGCATATATATAGGGGTTTAATTAATGACCATTACTGGTCACAGCTACACAGAAAAAAGATTTTACTCCAGCATTTGTTGACTGGAGCTGGCCCAAATGTAAACTACATGCACAATCTAAGCAATGTGTGGAAAAGGAAGCAAAGAGGAAAGCTAATAGTAACACTTTATTTATATAATATAAATACTGTACCTATATAGTAATTATAACTATTCATATAGTTTATTTTAGCATGGTTGGCCACATGTAAATGAATCTTCGGTGTGGTGGGGAAACAACATTGTACGTGTCTGTAACAAGGATATATACAAGGGGTTTCTTCACCTAGAAACTCAAGTGCTTTGAGACTCAATTAAAGAACTGGCTGTGCTGAATTGTCTAGGCATCAAAGGGCTGAAGGGGTTATTTTTGTAGGTGGAGGAAATACTGATAACTTAGTGGTACAGAAACCCTTTTTTGTTAAACTTTCCAACAAGAAGAACTGCCATTGCAATCCAAAACAGTGGATACATGTATTACAACTGTGATATCAAGTAGTCACTCTTCAAGCTGATTGGAAACAAGGAAAGCAAGAAGAGAATTACCACTCAAAGCTCTGCCTGACCTATGGCTTTTTGATGGTGCTACCCTTTTTCCATGGGAATTTGAAAGATGCATCACCTCAGAATTATCCTGGCTGCTGTTCTTTTAGGCTGGCAGTCTTTCCTTTGATTTCACACTCCCAGCCTCAGGAAGCTCATGAAAGTCCATGACTGGCCCAATGATATCGGGCATTGTGCTTACACAGGCATCTCTCAGTGGCCTTCTCCCACCTTCACTGCTTGATGTCTCCAAGAGTTGTCACCTGCATCCACTTCACAGAGCTCTCTGTAGCTAAGTAGCCAGTTCCCCTTTCTAAGGGGAGACGGAAGAGCCCGAAATTTGGTGCAAGACAGGAGCCAGCATGCTGATGACAACAAAAAGTCCAGGTCTCTTGTGGATTTCAGTCCCATCTTAAAAGGCAACCCCTTTGTCTCACTGCCTTCTTCACTTACCCACCTTCTGAAAGAGAATAGCAATTCCAAGCTGCCACAGGAGGCTGAGTTCTCCTTGCCTTTTTTTTTCAGGAGATTAGGAAAAGTGCAACAGAAAGAACACAAGGCAGCATCCCAAATCTTTCTGCTTTTCTGTCCTCCCTCAATGCTTGAAACCTCACTCTGCAGAAGCGAGAAGCACAGAAAGGATGGGAAGGTGGGAAGACTGGCATTTTGGGGGCAGAATTGGGGAATAATTAACTGTAAGACAGATTTAGAAGTAAGAACCACTACAGCAAAGGAAAGGTGGAATTACGTATCTTTTTTTGAGAAGAAGTGGCTAATCTAATCACTATATATGCACACACATGAACATCTGCATACCTATAATTGAAAGAAGAAGTAACACCAAGAGTCAAATTTCAAAATGCAGACAAAAAATGTGTAAAGTCATTAAAAAAAAACCTATAAATTGGCTGCCAATATCATTGATTTGGCATCTGAGATAAAATTTCTGAGCTACTGTTTTTAGCACTAATGGTACCATGTGTTCCCCCTCATACTTCTGCCTTTCCTTTCTCTTTCAAATTCTCCTTCCTGTGTGGCCATATTCATAGGTTGGCAGAAAGCACATTTCAAATGTGGGTATAAAGATTACCTTGAATCGGCAGAGAAAAGGGTAAGGGCAGACTTACTTTAAAAAAAAAAAAGGTGAAGATAAAAGCTTACTCTGACCCTTTTTATTGTCAAAGAGAATGAACCTTGACAAATCTTTGAGAGCCACTAATGTATTACAGGAAGCAGTATTTAAGACTTTCATAGAGTAATAGAATCATAGAATAGTTTGGGTTGGAAGGGACCTTTAAAGGTCATCTAGTGCAACCCCCCTGCAACGAGCAGGAACATCTTCAACTAGAGCAGGTTGCTCAGAGCCCCATCCAACCTGACCTGGAAGAATGTTTCCAGGGATGGGGCATCTACCACCTCTCTGGGCAACAAGTGCCAGTGTTTCACCACCCTCATCATAAAAAATATCTTCCTTATATATAGTCTGAATCTACGCTCTTGTAGTTTGAAACTATTATCCCTTGTCCTGTTGCAACAGACCCTGCTAAAAAGTTTGTTCCTGTCTTATATTCCTTATAAGAAATAAGGCCCCTTTAAGCACTGAAAGGCTGCAATAAGGTGTCCCCAGAGCCTCAGCTTGGTGTCGCCTGCAAACTTGCTGAGGGTGCACTCAATCCCATTGT